TTTTCTAATAAAATGTAAAATAGATGAGAAAAGACAGACTTTACATACACATTTTTCTTGGCTTGATGAGAAGGAAGGAGACACAAATAGCTAAAAAGGAAGCTATTGCAAACCAGCAAAGAAGTGATTATCAGATACCCCCAAATCAGCAATTACTCGAGGGTATGATTCTGGGAGTATGATCTGGAGGGGACTCATGAGGGATTTCTTGAGTGTGGTCAGTTTTCTTTTTTTTAAATTAATTAATTTACTTTGTTTTTTTTAGATTGGTGTCGCCTTGTAGCCCCAGCTGGCCTGGAACTCACTATGTAGACCAAGTTGGCCTTGATTTCAGAGATCTGCATGTCTCTGCCTCTCAAGTGGGATTAAAGGTATACTACTACACCTGGCTGGTTTTTAATTAATTAATTATAATTAATTAATTAATTAATTTTAAGCAGAGTGGTGGCTATGCTTAAATGATTGTTATGCTCAAAAGCTCTATTCTATGCATTTTTCTGTATTCGAATCTTCCTGTCTCAATAAGTGGTATCATCTAGCACTCGTGTTTGCTCAGGTCAAAATTCTTGAAATCACCGTAATGCTTGTTTTTCTTCTATACACCCAGCCCACCAGCAGATCTTGTCAGCTTTTTTTTTGTCTTTATGAGACAGCGTCTCCCTGTATCCTCAGCTCTTCTGGAACTTGCTATGTAGACCAAGCTGACTTGATGTCACAGAGATTCGCCTGCCTTTGCCTTCTGAGTGCTAGTATCAAAGGCCTGCACCACCATGCTCTAACTTTGATCTTTGGCCCATTTATTATTCATTTATTTATTTATTTGGTCTTTTTGAGACAGTGTCTCCCTGTAGCCCCAGCTGGCCTGGAACTTGCTATGTAGACCAGGCTGGCCTCGAACTCACAGAAGTTCACTTGCCTCTGCCTCCCGAGTGCTAGGATTAAAGGCATGTGCCGCCTCACGCGGCCTGGCCTTTGTTTTTTTGTTTGTTTGTTAACATTTTTTTAAATTTAATTTTTAAAAATGTTTATTTTATGTGTACGCGTGAATTTCCTGCATGTAGGTAAGTGCATCCGTGCTGTGCAATGCCCATGGAGGTCAGAAGAGGCTGTCAGATTCCCTGGGACTGGAGTTAGACAGTTGTTAGCTGCCATGTGGGTGCTGGGATTTGTACCCAGGTCTTCTGCAAGAACAACCAGTGTTCTTATCCACTGAGCCATCTCTCCAGCTCCTGGCCTTTTTTTTTAAAGGGTCTCACTATGTAGCCCAGACTGGCCTGGAGCTTCTCCTCCTTCTCATCTCACCCTCCAGTGCTGGATTTTTAGGTGTGCACTATATCTGGTTTTTATTTCTAATTTTAAATAAACAAATTCTTAAGTGTACGGTCTTAGGAATAGTAAATGAAAGAGTATAATTTACACGTGCATGTGGGGGCCAGAGGTCAACCTTAGGTGTTGCCCCTAAGAAGCTGTTCACCTTGTTTTTGTTTGGAGACAGGGTCTCTTGCTGGGACCGTGGGCTCCGTTGATTAGGCTAGGCTGGCTGGCCAAGGAGCCTCAGGAATCTGGCTCCACCTACTTAGCATCAAGACTACAGTTGCATGCCACCACATTTTACTTGAGTTTTGGGGATCCAACTCATGTCCTCATGTTCTTGTACTAAGCACTTTACTCATTAAGGTATTTTCCTAGCTAAACAAACAAACAAAGTGCATTTTAAACAGTTCTTTTGGAGCTATTGTCCTATTTTCTTGTGTGTGTGTATGTGTGTGTGTGTATGTGGTATATACACATATATACACATGTATGTGTAGGTATGTTTGATATTTGGATGTCTTCCTCTATTGCTCTCCACCATTAAAAATGGGGGGGGGTTGCTGGGGAGGTGGCTCAACAGTTAGGAGCACATATTGCTCTTGCAAAGACCTGGAGTTTGATTCCCAACACCCACATCAAGCAGCTAACAACTGCCTGTAACTCCAGCTCTAGTGATTCTGACATGCTTTTTTTTTTTGCCTAATTCACTAATGTATACATGCATATACATAAGTTTAAAAAAACCTTAAATTTAAAAAATTACATGTATTTATTTGTGCTGGCAGGGAGGGCTTGCCATGGTACTCATGTGGAGGTCAAAGGACAACATGCAGGAATTGGGTCTCTCCTTCCACCATATGGGGCAGGGGTCCAACACAGGTCATCAGGCATATTGCAATCACCTTTACCTGCTGAGCAATCTTACCAGCCCTCTCCACCCTTTAAAAAAGTCATATTTGGCCAGGCGTGGTGGCACACGTCTTTAATCCCAGCACTTGGGAGGCAGAGGCAGGCGGATCTCTGTGAGTTCAAGGTCAGCCTGGTCTACATAGTGAGTTCCAGGACAGCTGGGGCTACAGGGAGACCCTGTCTTAAAAAGACCAAAAAAAAAAAAAAAAAACAAAAGCAAAACCAAAAAAGTTATATTTGGGAGGCTGGAGAGATGACTCAGCAGTTAAGAGCACTGGTTGCTCTTATAGAGGACATGGATTTGGTTCCCAGCATCCATATGGCAGCTAACAATCATCCTTAACTCCAGTTCCAGGGGATCTGACATCCTCTTTTGGCCTCCACAGGCACTGCATGACATGGGTGCACCTACATACATGCAGGTAAAACACTCATACACGTAAAATAAAAATAAATAAATCAAAAAATTTAAGTCACATTTATTTATTTAGTGTGTTCATGTATAAACAATGCCACAGCAAACATCTCAACCTTTAAAAATATTTTTGTATATGTTTGTGCATGATGTGTGTGTATGTTTCTGTGTGATGGTGCACATATAACATGGTGCTTGTGTGAAGGTGAGAGGACCACCTTGGGTGTTGGTCCTTGCCTTTTGTTTTTATTTTTTCAATATTTAATTGTGTCTGTGTGTTTGCCTACATGTATGTAAGTTCACCTGTACATGTAGTACCTGCAGAGGCCAGAAGAGGGCGTTGGATCCCCTAGAGCTGGAGTTATGGACAGTTGTTAGCCATCATGTGGGTGCTGGGAACTGAATCTAGGTCCTGTGAAAGAGCACCCAGTGTTCTTAACTCCTGAGCTACCTCTCTAGTCCCACCTTTTTTCTTTTAAATTTTTAAAATTTATTTTTATTTTTTATGTGTATGAGTGTATTGCCTGCCTGTATGTCAATGCACCCATGTCATACAATGCCCATGGAGGACAGAAAAGGGCATTGCATCCCCTGGAACTGGAGTTAAGGACAGTTGTCAGCCACCATGTGGGTGCTGGGATTCGAACCCAGTTTTCTGCAAGAACATCCAGTGGTCTTTGCTGAGCCATCTCTCCAGCTCCCTGACCATGTTTTTAATTTAAAACATTTTAATATTTATGTGTGTGTCTCTGTGTGTATGCCAGGTAGGTGTTGGTGTCCCCAGAGGCCAGAAGGTGTCAGATCCCCTGGATCTTGAATTATAGGTGTTTGTGAGCTGCCCAATGTGGGTGCTGGGAACCAAATTTAGGTCCTCTAGAAGAGCAGCCAGTGCTCTTAACCATTGTGGCATCTCTCCTGTCCCTCCACTTTGTTTTTCAGGCTGAGTCTCTCTTGTTTGCTGTTTTGCTATGTACTCCAGGCTAGCTGGCCCCTGAGCTTCCAGGAGATCATCCTGTTTCCACCTCCCATCTTGCCATAGGAGTGACTGTGTTACAGAAATGTGTCACTGTATGTAACTTTTAAAATTTTTATTATTTTCATTTTATGAGTGTATTGCATACATGTAAGTGTAGCTGTGTCGTGCAATGCCTGAGGAGGTCAGAAGAGGGCGTTGTATTCCCCTGGAACTGGAGTTAACGGACGGCTGTTAGCTTCCATGTGGGTGCTGGGAATTGAACCCAGGTCCTCTACAAGAGCAGCCAGTGCTCTTAACCATTGAGTCATCTCTCCAGCCCCTTGTGTCTAGCTTTTTTTACATGGGTTCTGGGAACCTAAACTCAAATCATCTGGTTTGCATGGCATGCACTCAAACACTGAGCCATCTCTCTGGCCCCTAACTCTTCACCTTATTTATTTGTTTATATTTTATGAGTGCTTTGCCTACATGTATATAAGTGCACCTGTGTCATTCTATTCCCGAGGAGACCAGCATCATCGAATCCCGTGGAGTTACAGACAGCTATTAGCTGCCATGTGGGTGCTGGGAACTGTACCTGAGTCCTCTTCAAGTGCAGCCAGTGCTCTTAACTACTGACCATCTCTCCATTCTCTCCCCTTATTTTTTGAGAAATGGTCTCTCACTGAACCTGGAGCTTGCCAATTTGGCTACACTGGCTAGCTAGTAGCTCCAGGAATCTATCTGCTTCTCTCTCCCAACCCAGTCCCCCAATGCTGGGGTTACAGATGTGTACCACTGTGCCTGACTTTTTATGTGGATGCTGGGGATCCCAACTCTGTTCCTTATGTTTGTGTGGCAAGCACTGACCTCAGGGAGCCATCATCTGTGGAAACAGGGGTTACCTATAGGTGCTTCAAGGAGATCAAGACCCATTTCCCAGAGAGCAAGGAACACTCGCAAAGAGATGAGCTATCCTCCCTTACATACAACCTACAGTACCGGTTACTAGTCCCCCAACTCAATCCTCCACAATGTGCACTTTACAATCACACTTGCTCTGAAAAAATAATGCATCAAAGTACTTTCTAAACTGTTAAGTGATACAGTAATGTGATATAATAGTAAAAAAAGGTTAGGTTCTTGCTTTCACCACATCCTTGGTTCCCTCAAGCAATTCTAGCTCTTTTCTTGGACTTCTCCCATCTGCATAACTTATGCCTCAGGGTTCTGAAAATACCCACCAGTGAAGGGTTTATGTCAGGGCTAATAAAAAAAAATCCAGATAATACCCATCTTGACACTTTTAATCCAGGGCTCTACCTCATTGCCTGCCTTTTATTCCACTTTCCTTTAAAAAGAAAGTTTACAAAAAAAAAAAAAAAAAAAAAAACAACCCAACCCAAACCAGAATATTTATTTCAAAACTTGGGAATTATGAAAAAAACCTAAGTAATGGGAATTAGAGTCTCATCAGGGTCTTCAGGGAAATCTGAAGTACCCCCTTGGCTTCAGCTATAAGCTTTCCCAGTTTTTAGCAATCAATTCCTTCGCTAGATTGAAGACGCCACTGGTCTGCTGGTCACAGACAGAGCAACGCGGGGTGGTGCGGAAATGCTGCAGTGCACAGCTCTCGCAGAAATAATGCCGGCACTTGGTGACAACTGGGTTTTGGACGGTCTGGCGACAGATGAAAGACTTGAATGGTATTTCCTCATCATCGCTACCCATTTCGTAATTTTCGTCCTCATAGACACCATAGCGACCCTCATTAAGCTCACGTTCGATCTGCCACCCGTGCTTGTAATTTGAACGGTCATGGAGAAATTTGCAGCTGTCTCCAGAAGCCACAGAATCCAGTCTCCTTATAGTCCTTACAGATGTCGGGCTGGTGATCCCAGCGCACCGGTGGCACGTAGATTCTCGGGAGCTCGGATGGGGCCCTTCCTCAGCATCCCGGAGGAGGCGTTGCCCTTGGACGTATGCTTGGGCTTCATGTATTTCTGATAATTATTTATTCCCCGATAGATCTTTTCATCCTCCTTGCCCCTCAGCTCCTCTTGGATCTTCTGGCTGCGCTCAAAGATGGCTGGTGCGTCTCGCTCCTCCTAGGTGTCCAGCTTAGAGACGGCTGTCGCCCCCATATCCTCGTGCCCCACGGGTTTCGCCGAGCGGGTGGACTTGTAGACCATGCCGAGACTCTCCTCCTTCTCCTGGTCCTCGCTACTCAAGACATTATAGTTGGCCTTCTGTTTACCGCTGCCACGCGCCTTCTGGATCATCGGATTATGGCTCGCCCGCTTCTCCGCTTCTCCGGTCGGACCACAGTGCAGTCTTTGTCGCTGCTGCTGCCGCTTTCCTCGGACCCCGCGTCGCAGAGCCCGCGCCTCCTGTGTCCCGCAGCCCCTTTCCGCCCAGGCTTTTTGAAGAGGAAGGTGCACACTTGGTCCGCCGACTTCCTTGGAAAAAGTTGCTCTGCCATTGGAGATCTCTGAAACTAGCCCCCTCACTTCACCAAACTTCGCGAACTCTGTGCTGACTTCGAAAAACACCAGAGATCCCCCGATTGCAAGAGCGCGAACACCAACTGCTTTTGAGCCTCCGCGGCCGCCGTAGCTTCCTCCCACGCCGTACAGCGCACCGCCCCTTTCGCGTCCTGTCGTGCAGCTCAGCGGGAAAGGTGGCAAAAACCGGGTCACCTTTGAGGATCCGAAAGATAGGGTTTGAAGTGTGTTTCACTGTGCGGAGATGTGGTTCGAAATTCTCCCAGGCTTCGCCATCATGGGCGTGTGCCTGATGATCCCCGGAGTGGCCACTGCGTACATCCACAAGTTCAGTAATGGGGGCAAGGTAAGGCAGCCTACTCGGAGGGCCGTGCGGAGTGTCGTTCCCACGGGGTGGTGGGATAGGGAGGCTATTTGGATGTATCGCTGCTCTGACAAAGTGGAGAGTACCAGCTGGCTCTCCTCTGACTGTGGCCTAAAAGCGAAGATTTGCGGATTCCACATTTTGCTTTTGAAAAAAAAAAAAGCTAGTTTCCGACTGGGGCCAAGTGGCCCCAAAGGCAAAATACAGATTCAGCAGCTGTCAAAGAAGCTCGACAGTCTGACGTGTCTCAAAAAAGAAATAAGGGGACTGGAGAGATGGCTCAGCGGTTAAGAGCACTGGCTGTTCTTGCAGAAGACCCAGGTTCAGTTCCCAGTACCCACATGTCTGCTAACAACGGTCTGTATGTAACTCCAGTTCCAGGGGATCCAAGGCCCTCTTCTGACCTCCGCGGGCATTGCCTAACACGGGTGCACTTACATACACGCAGTCAATACAATCATACACATAAAAATTTTAAAAAACGATTACAAGAGTTAGATCCAAACTCCTAGGCTGGACAGAGAGGTGTTAGTTGTGACCCCACTCCTTCCCACTACTCATATCCTTGTCGATGTTTAGTTTTATTTATTTATTTTAAAATTTTATTCATTTTATTTATGAGTGTTTTGCCTGTATATATGTAAATGCACCCGTGTGTGCAATGCCTGTTGGGCCCAGAAGAGGGCGTCGGATCTCTTCCAACTGATTATTAGCCTATGTGGGTGTACCCCTGTCCTCTGTAAGAGCAGCAGTGCTCTTAACCCCGGAGCTATCTCTCCAGCCAATATTTACATTTTATTTGTTTGTATGTATGTATGTATGTATGTATGTATGTATGTATGTATGTATGTATATATGTATATGTAGACACACGTGTGTGTAGGTGCTTGTGGAGGCCAGAAGAGGGCATTGGATCGCCTGGAGGTGGAGATTCAGGCAGTAATGAGCCATCAGAAGTTGGTGCTGGAAATGAAATTTGGGTCCCCAGGAAGAGCACCTCCTCAGCTCCTAATGTGTTATTTCTTAAAAGTCGTAAGATCCATCTTTTACTGGGTGATTCATCTTTATAAACTGTGCTGTCTTTTATTTGAAGGAAAAAAGAATTGCTCGATTTCCATATCAATGGGCTTTGATGGAACGAGATAGGCGTGTTTCTGGAGTCAATAGCTACTACGTGTCCAGGGTAAGATGACTGGTGCTATTGTCTACTGGGTTGTGGGGATTGAGGGGGGTTGTGGTAATGCCTTGCCTAATGTCATATGATGCTCATTTAATTTGCATTTTCTTATTTACTAGTAAGGTATGCAACCTTTTACACATATAGTGATCTTTGTGAATATATATGTTTGTGTTTGTGTGTGCTGTATGTGCATGCATGTGTATGTAAGCACCTGCGTGAGGAGACTACACCTTACTGTTTTTTTGAGGTGGTCTCTTGTAGCCCAGGCTGGCCTCAAACTTACTTTGTAGCAGAGGATGACATTGAACTTCTGATCCTCCTGCCTCTATCTCTTGAGTGCTGGGATTTTAGACTTGCACCACTGGACTTTATTTAAGCATCAGCTTGGACTTTATTTATTTATTTAAATTTATTTTTTTGAGACAGGTTCTCGTGTAGCCTAGGCTGTTGTCCAACTGGCTAGTTAGCTAAAGATAACCTTAAACTTCTGATCCTTCTGCCCCACCTCCTTTGTGCTGGGATTACAGGCATCTGCCAATCATGCCCAATTTTTGTGTAGTTCTAGGGGTAGATCTCAGGCTTTCATGACTGCTAGATAAGTACTCTACTGAAACAAACTACATCCCCAGCCCTGGATTTTACCTTTTTTTAATTTATTATTTTTATTTTAATGTATATGAGTGTATTGCTTGTATGTAGGTAGGTGCACCCATGTCCTGCAGTGCCCACAGAGGTCAGAAGGGCAGGTCAGATCCCCTGGAAATAGAGTTATAGACGGTTGTTAGCCCCCATGTAGGTGCCAGCAATCGAATCCCGGTCCTCTGCAAGAACGGCCAGTGCTCTTAACTGCTGAGCCATCTCTCCAGCCTGATTTTAGTTTTTTTAAATATTTTTAAAAAAAATTTATTATTTTTATTCTATGTGTATGAGTGTATTGCCTGCATGTAGGTAAGTGCACCCATGTCGTGCAATGCCCTCGGAGGACAGAAGAGGCCATCAGATCCCCTGGAACTGGAGTTACGGACAGTTGTTACCTGCCATGTGGGTGCTGGGATTCGAACCCAGGTCTTCTACAAGAACAACCAGTGTTCTTAACCGCTGAGCCATCTCTCTAGCCCCTTGATTTTAGTTTTTAAAAAATGTTTGCAGGGTGAGGAAGATAGTTCTTGATTTAGAGTGCTTGGCATGCAAGCATGAGGACCTGAGCTTGAGCCCCAGGGGCCATGTAAAATAAGCTGGGCATAGTGCTATCTGCTTGAACTCCAGCACTGGAGAGGCAGAGACAGATGGATCCTGGAGGGTCATTGTCCAGCCAGCCTTGCCTGCTAGTCAAACTCAAGGCCAATTGGAGACTGTCTCAAAAAAAAAAACCAAAAACAAAAAAATGGTGGCTAGCTCCTAAGGAATGACATGAGAGGTTGACCTTTGGTCTCCATACTCATGAGCATGCACCCACATACCACATACACACACAGTTTGCATTTGGCACATATTTTTCCTAGTCTTCACTCTTTTATGTATGAGTGTTATGCCTGCATGTGTATAAGTGCACACATGTCATGCAGTGCCCTCAGAGGACAGAAGAGGATATCGGATTCACCGGAACTGGAGTTACAGATGGTTTTTAGCTGCCATGTGGGTGCTGGGATTCGAAGCTGGGTCTTTTACAAGAGCAGCAAGTGCTCTTAACTGCTGAGGCATATCTCCAGTCCTTCTGTCTTTTTAAAAAAAATTTATTTTTTATTTTTATTTTATGTGTATGAGTGTATTGCCTGTATGTATGTAAATACTCCTGTGTTGTGCAGTGATGAAGGAGGTCAGAAGAGAGGTGTCAGATCCCCTGGAATTGGCGTTACAGATGGTTGTTAGCTGCAATGTCGGTGTTGGGAATTGTACCCAGGTCATCTGCAAGAGCAGCCAGTGCTCTTGACCACTCAGCTCTCTCCAGCCCCTTTCTCTGTCTTTTCTTTTTTAAAAATTATGTAGTAGTTTTTAGGGATTTTTAAAACTTTTTTTTACCTTACTTATTTTTATTTTATGTGTATGAGTGTTCTGCCTGCGCATATGTAAGTGCATCTGTGTCATGCAATGCCCAGGGAGGCTAGAAGAGGGTGTTGGATTCCGTGGGACCGGGGTTATGGACTTTGTTAGCCACCGTGTAGGTGCTGGGAACTAGACCTGGGTCCTCTGCAAGACAGCAAGTGCTCTTAACCACTCTTAGCCATTGTTTTGATGTTTAATTTATCATGTTTAATCATTCTGGATGTTATATCTTCCTTACAAGGGCCTTTTCTACCCAAGATTATAAGAGTATTTTTTTTTTGTGGCACTGGGGATTGAACCCAGGGCCTTGTGCATTTTCAGGCATGGATTCTACCAACTGAGCTATAAGAATGTTTTCTTAGAATTTTTCCAAATACTCTTAACTCCCTCTCCCCTTACCATTCAGTCTTTCAGCCTCTGCTAGACATTGTGGTATATAATGTGGAGTGAGGATTTAACTTTACTTTTTTCCCCCCAGGAGATAGTAGCCAGTTGTCACAATTAGCCATGTCTAGACAAATTATTTTTATTTGTAATACCATTCTAGTGAACTAAATTCCCATGTATGTGTGGGCTTATTTAAAATTTGCTCTTCTGTAGTCTGTTAGTGTGCCAATTGTTTCACCAGCATCTTATTTTTCTTTATTTTTATTTTCACTAATTTTTGAGACAGCATCTCATTGGATAGCCCTGGCAGACTTAGAACTCACTATGTAGAGCAGGCTGGTCTAGAATTCACAGAAATGCCCCTGCTTTTGTCTCCTTAGTGCTGGGATTAAAGACGTGTTAAGGCATACACCACCATAGCTGGCTATTTATTTATGTATTTATTTATTTAATTTATTTGTATGTGTGTGCCACAGTGTGCATGTGGAGGTCAGAGTACAACTTTCATAAGTCAGCTCTCTCCTTCTACCTTGTGGGTCCTGGGGATTAAATTCAAGTTGTTAGGCTTGGTGGCCAAGCACCTTTACTCACTGAGCCATCTTGCCAGCCCCAGTATATTATTTAATGAATTGATACAGCTGGAAGAGGTGGTTCATGCCTGTAATCCCAGCCCTTGGGAGGTTGAGGCAGGAGGATCACCAAGTTTGAGGCCAGCCTGGGCTGCATAGTGAAATGCTATGTCATAAAACAACGAATATAAAAGGATTGATACAATTTTATATATGATTGAATCATATGGAATTGCTACTTTTATAGGTCAGAAATGGCTAAGTAGCATCTTCAATGACTCAAGTTAATGTATATTTTATAACTTGTAGGACCATTTCATCCTCATAATGCTTTTTAAGTTTTGTTTTTAAAATATTTTATTATTTTTATTTTATGTGTATGAGCATATTGCCTGTATGCACGTAAGTGCACCTGTGTTGTTCAATGCCTGTGGAAGTCAAAAGAGGGCATCAAATTCCCCTGGAATTGGAGTTACTAACAGTTGTTAGCTGCCATGTGGATGCTGAGAATTGAACCTGGGTCCTCTTCAAGAGCAGCCAGTACTCTTAACCACTGAGCCATCTCTCCAGCCCAAACTTTATTTTTTATTTATTGTATATGTCTCTATGAGTTTGTGTATGAAAGGTGTGTGTGCGGAGGTTAGAGGACAATTCTCAGGGAGTCACTTTTCTCCTGCTACCTTGTGGGATTCCAGGATCTAACTCAGGTTGTCAAGTGCGTGTGTAAATGGTTAGCTACTGAACCATCTCACTAGCCCTCATCCTCCTAATTCTCTTGCTTCTTAAATTACTGTCTATTCCTTCCTTATGTATTCCCCACAGTGAACCTAGGTAAATATTAATTTCCATTTTATAGATGAGAAAACATGGTTAGAGTGAGTAAAAAATTACTGCAAGGGCTCAACCTAGGTGATCTGCTTGTTGTTATAGTGCTGAGAATTAGACTCATGAACATGAAGGTAGATAGTAGTTGTGAGGATCTGTACTGTTGCTCTCCATGCTTTGATTTACCCTCTATTAGCAGTGGACTTAAAAATAGGAAATGGAGATGCTGGAGAGATGGCTCAGTGTTTTAAGAGCACTGACTGCTCTTGCAGAGGACCTGGGTTTGATTCCCAGCACCCACATGGTGGCTAAGAACTGTCTGTAACTCCAGTTCCAGGGGATCTGACACCCTCTTCTGGCCTCCAAGGGCATTGCATGCTCTGGTGCACTTACATGCATGCAGGCAAAATACTTATAAAATAAAAAATATTTTTTTTAATAAAGCTGGGGAAATGAGCAGGAGGCAGGCCCCAAGGAACTAATTCCTTAGCCAAGGAACTATTGGCAGCTGATCACTGCTGGGTGAAAGAGAGAGTTGATGGGGATGCTAGGTAGGCAGCTAGGTAGGCTGAACAGGGTCCAGTGGATGAACTTACTGAAAGGAACATCTGGTGATACAAACTTGACTCGATAGGCCTTAGCATATGACATAATGCATGAAATCCAGTGAGCAGGCTGTGGAGCAGGGGTGCAGATGATTAAAATGTATGAAATGCAAAAAATTCTATTAAAATATGTGTTGGAAATGGAAAACTCTAGACAAAGAATTCTTCTTTGTGTGTATGTGTGTGTGTGTGTGTGTGTGTGTGTGTGTGTGTGTGTGTTTGAGACAGGGTCCCCTGTAGACCCATCTGGCTTGGAACTTATTATGTAGACCAGGCTGGCCTCAAACTCACAGAGTTCCACTTGCCTCTGTCCTGAGTGCTGGGATTAAAGGCATGAGCTACCACGCCTGGCCCCAGACATAAAGAATTCTTAACTATTAAATAACTTTCATTATAGTGTTAGAATTCATTTTATTATTGGTTATTATTGTTAATATCTTACTAAGCCTAAAAATTAAGTTAAACTTTATCATAGGAATGTACACATAGGAAAAAAACAGTACACTGTCTGTGGGTTCAGGTATCTGCTGGGGAATTTGGAACTTGTTCCTATGGACAGGGATGTGACCTTGTATCTACTTACTAGAGCTGTGTTTCTTAAAGTGTAGTTCCAGAGTAACTGTTAATATCAAAATCCTTTGGTATGTAGAATAGAATTGGGATTTCTAAGAGGTCATTCAAGAGTTTAAACTTCTTTTCAGGTGATTCTTTCTGTGGCAGAAAACCCAATACCTGGATTGTGTTATTTTTGTATCTGGAAACAATGCCACTACTTACTAATCTGTAGCTTTTGGTGTTTTGGGTTGTGAACTAAGAGTGGAGGTCTGATTTGTGTCTGTTGGCTTTTGCTTTTGTTTGGGGGCAGGGCCTTGCCATGTAGCCCTGGCTGGCCTGGAACTCATTGCCTTCCTGTTGCCTTTGCCTCCTCAGCGATAGGATTAGGATTACAGGCGTGCACTACTATGCCCACCTTAGTGGGTCTTTTGAATTTTTAATGGGGCCAAGTTTTTACAATTAAGGCCATTGTACTTGAATTTTGGCTCCACTACCACTTGCCTGAATTACAGAGGTGATTTTTGTTTTGTTTTATTTTGAGACAGAATCATGATTTTTGACATCTTTGAGTTTCTACATCATCTGTAAAGAGGTGGAATGAGGATCATAGTGTTGGGTTCTATTTTATGAAATAGCTGACTGTTTTCTCCTCTAACTCATGGAGGGCACTATGTATAAGGATCCAGGTGGGGAATAGTTGCTTTTCTTTAATGACAGTTAAGATGAAGGAAAGGTCTTTATATATAAGACTATGTTTGCTGCTGTCAGAAAATGAAAAGTGAGCTGGGTATGGTGATGCACCTTGTAATCCCAGCATTTGGGAGGTGGAGGTAAGAGGACCAGGAGTTCAGGTCATCTTCAGCTACATAGTGAGTTCAAGGCCAGCCTGAACTATATAAATCCTTGGAGAGAGAGAGAGACAGAGAACGGGAGGAATCATTACAGATTATCCTTTAATGATTATAAAATTCGATTCAATCGTATATTGTTGCAGTTATAGAAATGTGGGTTGTGAAGTCACTTGCTTTAATAACAGAATGCCATTCTGTGATACTGGAAATAAAGTACATGGTACATTTTTTATAGGAACAGGATTCTCACAATGTTTTTTTTTAAACTTTTTCAGGGCTTGGAGAACATTGATTAAGGAAGGATTTTCCTGGTTGAAGAGGGAAATAACTCAGCATGCTCATCTAGTCCCACCAAAAGGCTACATAATATATTATATAGCATGCAGTATGTTATGGAACACTTAATAAAAATGAAAAAGAAAAGCCAAAGGCATTTCTCTTTTTTTAACTTTATTTTCATTTGTGTGTGTGTGTGTGAGAGAGAGAGAGAGAGAGACAGAGAGACAGAGACAGAGAGAGAGACAGACAGACAGACAGAGTGAGACCCTATCTCAAAAAAAAAAGAGTTTTCAAAAGCACATGGGTATGGGCTTCTCTAAGAGAGTTGCAGTTGTTTTTTTTATAGTCATAGAGTCATAAAGAGGATTTTGGTGGGTTCTGAAACTATCTAAAGGGTTTCTAAGAAACCTAACAGAAAATGTTCAGATAAAGGAATGAGGCCCTTCCTGAGATCATATGTATTCGGGCTTTTTTTCTTTTTGGACACAGGGTCTCCCTTGTAGTCCCAGCTGGCCTGGAACTTGCTGTGTAGACCAGGGTGGCCTCAAACTCACAAAGATCCGCTTGCCTCTGCCTCCCAAGTGCTGGGATTAAATGCATGGACCACCACGATCAGCTTGGAATATCTTAATCATCTTTATACCCCCATACCCATTGCCCCACTTCCATGCCCCCCCCACTGGAATTCATACATTCTGTCATTTGTGTTAAGACCTACTATGTCAAATTAGTGTCCCCTGATGTCCCTCAGTGCAAGTTCATCCACTGAGGTCTAGTCAGCCTATCTAGAGTCCCTCCCTTTAAGAAGATCAGCTCTCCCTCACCCAGCAGTAATCAGTTGCCAATAATTCTTCAACTAAGATTGAGGCCTACTGCCCATTTTCACAGTTCTGTGTTGGGTTTTTATCTACTTGAGTTTGCATGGGTCTTGTGCATATGGACACTATTGCTGTAGCTTGATATGAGAAAGGTTCCAGGAAGTCTGTATGTATTCAGGCTTTAAGCCCACTTCACTGATATTTATTTATTTGTTTATGATTTTATTTTTAACATATATGACTATTATGCTTGCATGTATGTGAATGCACCCGTGTCATGCAGTGCCAGAGGAGGACAGAAGAGAGTGTTGGATCACCTGGAATTGGAGTTACAGATGGTTGTTAGCCCCATTTGGGTGCTGGGATTTGAACCTAGGTCCTTTGAAAGAACAATGAGTGCTTTTAACTGCTGAGCCATCTCCAGCTCCTGTTTGTTTATTTTGAGACAAGGTCTCACTGTATGCCACTGGCTGGCCTAGAACTCAGAGATTCCCCCTACCATGAGCACTAGAATTAAAGGCATGTGCCACTATATTCAGCATTTATTGCTATTTTTATATTTTAAAAATTTATATAAAGGAATATTTTTATGTTGATAACCTTTATAGCAAATGTTATTAATGATGCTGGAATTTGTACTTCTCAGTTGGAGAGAGATTTCAATCAGACTTCTGGGTAAGGAGCTCCTTTCTCTTTCCATGTTCCCATAATATTCCCTGCCTCTCTATCCTGCCTCAATATCCTGCTCTGAGACTTGGGTTACTTAATTTTAGGGTTTGCAGAGGGCTGAAAATCTTACCTTCTCTGATCTCTTCTGTGTTGAACCAGGGATATAATCCATACCTATCCAGAGATCAAAAGTCTCAACCAGGCCAAAGTGGTGGCATATACTTTTAATCCTAGCACTCTGGAGGCAGACTCCTGTGAGATCAAAGCCAGCTTAGTCCTCATAGTGAGTTCCAGGCCAGCTGGAGCTACAAGAAGACCCTGTCTCCAAAACAAAAGAAAACAAAATAAAAACAGCAAGTCTCAACCAGGTTGGTAAGATGGCTCAACGGATAAAAATGCCATATAACCCTGATGACCTGAGTTAGACACCCAGAACCTACATTACAAAAAAAGCTGGGGGGCTGGAGAGATGACTCAGTGATTAAGAGCACTGGTTGTTCTTGCAGAGGACCTGGGTTCGATTTCCAGCACCCACATGGCAGCTAACAACCATCAATAACTCCAGTTCCAGGGGACTGATATCCTTTTCTGACCTCCGAAGGTATTACATGACATGGGTGTACTTACATACACACAGGCAATATAGTCATACACATAAAAAAATAAGTATTTTTAAAAGGCTGGATATGGTGGCATGCATCTCTAATCCCAGCATTCAGATGACAAGATAGGAGGCTGAGACAGGAGAATCACCTGGAAGTTCAAGGGCCAGCTAGCCAGGAGTACACAGCGTGACAAAACAAGAGAGACCTTGCCTCAAAAGGTGAGAAGAGAAGACTCCCAAAAGTTGTCTTCCACAAACACACCCCTACTTACCCAATGACATCACCCCCACAATAATATATTTTAAAAATTTAAAGTCTCAGGGCTGGAGAGATGGCTTAGTGGTTAAGAGCATTGGCTGCTCTTATAGAGGACCTGGGTTCAATTCCTAGCACCCACACAGCAGCTAACTGCATAACACCAGTTCCAGGGGAATCCAACACCCTCTTTTGAGCTCCTTGGGTATTGCAGGACATGGGTGCACTAACACACTTGTAGGCAATACACTCATACACTCAAAAAGAAAATAAAAATATTTTTTAAAAATTAAAAGTCTGAACCTACCTTGACTACAGAGCACATTTGTAGGCGTGATCTTGGGCATTGAAGGGGCATTATTAGAGGGGAATGTGGAAGAGAGATTATTAAGACATCAAACCATATATAAGTAATAATTGTTATGACTGAGATTAGTATGAAAAAACAACCTTTTTATTATGGATACCTGATAATCATGATGTCAGTAAATCTTTGAACTTAAAGCAGAATCTGACATAGAAAGGTATTTTTTTTTTTGGTCTTTTTGACAGCCCCAGCTGGCCTGGAACTTGCTATGTAGACCAGACTGGCCTCAAACTCACAGAGACCTGCCTGCCTCTGCCTCCCAAGTGCTGGGATCAAAGATGTGTGCCACCATACCTGGCCCAAGAAAGGCATTTCTTAAAAAACAAACAAAAAAAACCCCACTGTATAATATCAAGGAAATTGGACCTGGAGAGATGACTCAGAAGTTAAGAGTGCTTGATGCTCTTGCACAGGACCCAGGTTTGGTTAACAGCATCCATGTTGGATGGCCCACATCTCTGTAACTCCAACTCCAGGGGACCTAATGCCCTCTTCTGACGTGGCATGCACACACACAGACACACATACATATAAATAAATATATGTACTGAAGATCAAGCAATCTACCCAATGTAGCAATATTACTTAAAACAAGACAACCAAGGACTACAAAATTACTAACATAATGTGTACCTATCTCTGCATGAGCACCTAATACTTCATAAATGGCATTACGATGACCACTGTGAAAGATAACATGGTTTATAGTTACTTCAAAGGTGGCTAGGAGAAGAAAAGTAATTTTTCCTATTTCTTTTTTCTGGATAGATCGTGAAGCATTTACAATTCCAGTTAGGGAGGAGGGATAACTAACACTATGTAAACCTGCTACCATAGAAGCTTCTTAAAATATATACATAGATTTTAGAAAAAGTTTAAATGGAGTTACCCTATAATAGAGGATAATGCCCCTACCAGACACCATAGACAAGCAAATAAAAAGCTCAGTGCCAGGAATGGGCTCATTTTAGTTGGTGACCAGAGGGTTCCTATAGATCCCCCAAACAACACTGGCTATTGCCATTGCTCTTGGTTCCCCATCAGAACTTGATGGTAAGACCCTATTGCTGAAGATACTAGGTATATGTTATAGAACAAACATGGGGAAATCAAGCTGGTACTAAGTTTAAAGCATCCTCTCTACTGGCTAGCTTTCATAGTGATGGAAGGTGCTATGCATGCTAACAGAAAAGAAACTATCAATCTTACCCAGCTGTGAACCCTCCCTGCTAACCACAATAACAACTGGCCTGGCAAGGTATGCCTACTAGTGCAATAGTGGCATGAATGTTATGGAAGTAACCAGTAATCTTCTGATTGAATTTAAGGCCAACTTTCAGATGGAGCCCATACCCAGCACTGTTATCAGGACCAAGAACCTGTGACTTGACAATCACAGGTCATACTACTACTATTAGTCTGCTAAATGGACATAGTATTTTTTTTGGCCTTTTTGAGACAAGGTCTCCCTGTAGCCCCAGCTGTCCTGGAACTCACCATGTAGGCCAGGCTGGCCTTGAACTCACAGAGATCTGCTTGCCTCTGCCTCCTGAGTGATGGGATTAAAGGCGTGTGCCACCATGCCTGGCTTTTGTCTTTTTTTTGATACAGGGTCTCCCTTTAGCCCCAGCTGACCTGGAACTCACTTTGTAGACCAGGCTGGTCTTGAATTCACAGAGATCTGTCTGCTTCTGTCTCCCGAGTGCTAGGATTAAAGGTGTGAGCCACCACGCCTGGCTAATGGACATAGTATTAAACTGACCCTTTGTGATTTATTTGTCATCATACCCATAGATTAATGCAGCTCTCCACTCTCACCATAGAAGCTTCCTCATGCAGCAGATGGCCATTTACAGAGACCCACAATTGATCAACATGCAGAGAATGAGACTTCAGAGTTCTCAGCCCTAAATGGGACATCTATATCACACCCTCTCCTCCCAAGACTCAGGGATTATTGCAGAAGAGAGGGCAGAAAGATTGTAAGAGCCAGAAGTAGTAGATGAATAAAAGGAAATCATGTTTTCCTGACATAACAGGGCTGTTGCACATATGAATCCACTGTGCTTGTGACATCATGCACAAGATCTGTGAAAGGCCAAACTAGACAAAATCCCAGCATGAAGGAGCTTTGTGAGCACAAAGCCCAACCCCTAGATGAGGAACTATTGGTAGTTGATAGCTGCTGGGAGAGGGAAAATCAGTTTTCATTAAGTGTGGGATGCTGCTTAGGTTGATCACACTCCAGGGGATAGATTTACTACCAAGAGTATTTGAGGAACACAAATTAGACTCAATAGACCTTAAAAAATAAAAGAAGACATGAAGTGAGGGGGTGGGTATGAAGGTGGGGGTGGATTTGAGAATAGATGGGGGAGGAGGTCTTAATATGATAAAAACACATTGTATGAAATCTTCAAAGAATCAATAAAAATA